AACACCACCAAGGAAGGGAAGTTACCCTTTCTTGAAGCACTCTGTGGGGCAGCTTAATTTTTAAGGAGTTTTTCTTGACATCTAGGCCAAGTTCGCCTCTTTGCAACATCCATCAGTTGCTCCTCACTCTGTCCTCTTCAAACAAAACAGATCCCTTCTCCACATAGTAGTCTTTAATTATTGGAATACAAAGACAATGGCCTCCGTAAGTCTTTACTCCTCTAGGCTAAACATGTCTAACTTCTTCAACAGAAATTCATTGACTAGACTCAAGTCAACTATCCTGTTTGCCCTCTTCTGGACACTCCCAAGCTTTTCAGTGTACTTCTTAAACCCTAATGCCCCAAATAGAACTTGGCACTCCAGGTAAGCTTTGACAAGGGCAGAATCCGATGAGATGATTAATTTCCTGTCCCTGAAATCTAGGCCTCTCTTAATGCAACTCAAATTCACATTAGCTTTTTTGACTGTAATGTCATACTCCTGACTCATATAGAGCATGCCTTTCATTAAAACACCCAGATATTTTCTTTCTCAGAATAAGTACAGTCTAACCATTCTTTCCCCTACCTCATACTTGTGAGGTTGATTTTTTGATGTCAATAAGTAAGGCCTCTTAGATTCAAATCTCTCAGGAAGCCTATAAAGCATTTATAAAGCCTACAAATTCCCCTGGAAGTCCTTCTGAATAAGAAATACTCTTCTCAGAATTTCCAAACCATGCTACATACTCTCTGGCCAGCCTGCTCCTCCCCCTCCATCGAAACTTTGACTCTGCTCCTCTGAGACTCTAGTCTTTTATAGGTTAATTCTTTGGCTTCTCTTTCTGAAAACTAGGTATTTATACCACTTCCCAGACTTTTTCTGAGTCATGCCACCATATATGTCTTCCATCCTCTTTTTAGCTCTCCTTTTTATGCATTATCTTCTCCTATTAGAATGTAAGGTCCCTGAAGGTAGAGCCTAGCTCACTTACATTTGAATTTCCAGATTAGTACAAAGCCTGGAAAATAATAAGCACTTAATGTTTTTTCATTCATTCATTCACTCATTCATCTACACTGCAAAAAAACTCATTGTAAAAGTAAGTGGAGGGGGTGGGGGGGTGCTATGTCAGAGATGTCTCTAGCATCAACTCTCTCTTAGCTTAGGTTTGATGTTGGGATGAGATGAGGCACTCACATGTCATTGAATAGTTATCAAAAGTTTTGCTTTACCCAGCTGAAAAAGCAAGGACAACAAGGATACAACAAGAATGGTCTTCTGTTTCCTTTTGTTAAAACTAATCCCTAAGGATCAGAGAATAGGAGGGACCTGGCCCTTCCCATGTTGTAGATGAGAGGAAAGAAATTGCATCAAGAAGGCAGTAGTCCTATTATAAACCATCCCTTGGTGGCAAAGTCCTAAGGATAGTCTATAGACTTTCCACCATTTAAATGCTTATAAGTCTTTTACTGTACAGTCCTCCTGACATGGGCAGTGCTAAAGCAAAGAAGAGAAAAGAGAACAAAATTATAGTCTCCCTTCTCACCCAAGGAGTCCCCATGAGAAGAGAAAAAGAAGGAGAAAGGAAAATGTGGAAGAGAATAAAAACTAGAAATCCTAAACCTTTCTTCTACTCTTTAAAATGACCAAGTCTTAAGTGTCTACAGTCTGGCCCATATGTTGAGGGATGCCATGTCTTTGCAGTTCATAGTGAATCTTCTAATGAAAAATATGAAGAAAACTATAGCTAAACCAGAAACATCAGATTGAAAATACAGTTGTAACATCTCCAGTACAGTCCCCAATTTCTTCTTCTGTTATGAGATGTTGATGATAAGCAGGAATAACTCTGGGGACATCAAGGTCATAGCACAGACACTTCTAGCATAGTCAACAATCATGCATTCAGGGTCAACTATAGCAAAGTGGCTCAGAGGTTATAAGCCTCTTACGTGCAACCTGTCCCATGATCTAGGTTAATACTGAGGCTCTCCCTATGCAACCATATATTTGGAATTCACCTGACAAAACCTCTTGCTCCCCAAAAGCCACAACATGTTGACATGGAAGGCATTGGCCAAGAGCCACATCATGTCAGCATAAAAGGTATTGGCAGGATTTCTCCATTGGTTCTGACCCTAAAGGCAAGACCTCTTGTCTATACTGGGTTCTCCAGGACCCAGACTACTTAACCAGACCCATGGCTACTGCTCACCAATTTGTGCAAATGAAGATCTTCTTTGCTGCATTCTTCCTCAAAACATTATGTGATTTTAATACACCATTTCCATTTAGCAATTAAAAAACCTCCTGTGATCTATCCATGTTAGAAAGACTGGTTTACAACATGTAACAGGAGACTCTAAACAGTTATTTTATGACCCTCTGTCATCTGTTCAGTAGCAGTTAGAGTACAACAGAGAAGCAACTTCTTTTTGAAAGTAATGTAGTGAGTGTTATTGGGGAGGAGGGTGAGGGGAACTCTAGAACTTTAACAGTCATTTATTCTCACTATATCTCAGTGCCTGTCAAAAGATCCACTCAGACTGATCGTTATGGACAAAGACCTCTAGAAACATGGGCCTTGAAAATTCAGAAGGGCCCAACGAGAGGGACCACTGGACAGCATGCTTTCTATACCTTCCATAACTGTTGCCTGTTCTGTGCTGCATTTGAAAGAGGCCAACTTGCAGGTGATGTGGTTTTAAGAGAGGTCTAAGGAGACACCCAGGTAAGGAATGTGGGTTCTCCAAAACATGGAGAGTCTCCAATAAGTCTCTGGGCCTTGTTCTAAGTGTCAATGCTGGATTGTGCATTGAATCATTTGCATTTTCCCCTCCCACTATATTCTCCAAAACTGGATCTAGATTTTCTAAGGATTGATTTCTTACCCATTGCTCCTCATATGGGCCAACATCTGATCTAGGACATCTGCCACTATGGCCTCGTCTGACTGGGTCAATATTATGTCATCAATGTAGTGGTGTACACCTATGCTGTCAGGAAGGGAGGTCTCTTTCAGTTTTCTGCCCCCCATAATGCAGCAGTTTGAGAAAGAGTTCATTTAACACTGAGGTGAGACAGTGATGCTATACTGGGCTCCTTCCCAGATGAAAGCAAACATATTCCAACTAATCTCAACCATAAGACTAGAGGGGGAAAAGCACTGAAAAAATTGAAAAGTCCATATCACTGACCTGGATCTGGACTAACTGGTCTGCAACATTGATGAGGTCAGGAACAGCTATAATGATGAGCATGACTATGTTCAGTTTCCTGTAGCACAGTGGTCAAAACCAAATGGAAATGGATCCCCAGAGGTAGTATAGTAACTCAGAAAACAACTAATTAATGTTATCTATGCTCTACTGTAATTTTTATTTATTTTGTTGAACATTTCTCAATTACATTTTAGGAGTTATGTTGACCATGGTTTGTGAGTTTGACACTTCTGTCGTAATGCACTGTCACAGGCTAGGCACTGTTTGCCTTCCTCACAGGGAATATAGGATTATGGTATGGGGAACTGCTTTAGTGAAGTACTCTAGCTTTCATCCTCTTCAACATTAAAGGAGATATGTCTTTTTTTTTCTCACTCAATAGTATTTTATTTTTTCCTAATTGCATGTAAAGATAGTTTTCAACATTCACTTTTATAAGATTTTGAGTTCCAATTCTTTTCTCCCTCCGTCCTCCCCTATCCCCTCCCCAAGATGGCATGCAATCTGATATAGACTATACATGTACAATCATATTAAACATATTTTCACCTGAGTTGTGTTGTAAAAGAAGAATCAGAACAAAAGGGGAAAATCACGAGAAAGAAAAAAAAGAGAGAAGAAAATAGTATGCTTTGATCTGCATTCAAACCTCATAGTTCTTTCTCTGGATATGGATAGCATTTTCCATCATGAGTCTTTTGGAATTGTCTTAGATCACTGTATTGCTGAGAAAAGCTAAGTCTATCATAGTTGATCATCATATAATGTTGCTATTATGTGTACAATGTCCTAGTTCTGCTCACTTCACTCAGCATCAGTTCACATAAGTTAAGGAGATATATGTTTTACCACCCTGCAGATACAATATTTCATGGTCTTAACTTCATGGAATGGTTTGAGTAACTCTAGGAATTTTCATTTGACCCTTCCTACAGCATGCCTAGAGGTTGCTGATAAGGCTCTCATGATACTGATCCCATGATATACCTTCCCTTCATGGTCTACCCTCTGTAGCAACCCTTGAATGATCCAAATGGCAACAGGGCATGAAGCCCTCATTTGCATTGCTGCCAATACTCCCAACTTAGCCAAAACCAGATTAAATGTAATTGGGAAATATTTAATAAATTAAATAAAAATACGACAGAACATAGATAATATTGCTATGTGGTTTTCTAATTCAATTTGCTAACCATAGGGATCCTTATGTATGGTTCAGTGACCCCCATTTCTATTTGAATCTGACATGATTACATTACTGTGTACCTCAGGCTTAGAAGGTGTTTAATTATCCTGTATGGTTTTTCAGAAGTGATACCTACTACTCTCCGCTAGAGGGGGTATCATTGCCCTCTGCCCTCCTAGCAAGGCAGCTGGCTCAATGACTCCTCTCTTCCCCTAATCCCAGAGTGAATATTCCAACTGATGTTAATATTTGCTTAAGCACAGGTGACCCAGACATCTGCTCAGTGTTCACCAGTTGATCAGCCCACAGAAGTCTGAAGATATTTGAGTGGGGCTCTACCTAACAGGCAGGATCTAATTGTCTCTGAGGCTAGACATGGAGTGAGGCAGGTGGTGAGCAGCCCTGAAAAGGGCTTGGCAAGCCCTCACACTGGAGGTGCTAGTTCTCCTTGAACACTCCATATGTGGAAGGACAGAGAGCTATAATATGAAGGGATACAGAGGGAGAAGACTGTGGGTATGGACAGTGACATACACTGCCACATAGAGAGGGTATGGTAGTTAGTTTTGCTAGACTTATCTTATTGTCTGTCTTATTTAGCCATAGTTACAAGGGATGGCTCACTGGGTAGAAGGAATATACAAAGAAATGAATTTAACATAAAAAGAGATGTCAATAAGAATAAAAAGTATTGGGAGTGAAAGTGCCCTTGGCAACATGTTAATCCAACATTCTCATTGTATAAAGTAGGAAATTGAAATTCTACTGTGCCGCAACATTCAAAGAGATAAATAAATAAGGATGATCTGGGGGAAAAAGCCCTGAACACTAAAACCATCAGGAGGTGATCAGAAACATGAAGAAAGCGAAGCATTTGAAGAGGCAGATGTGAGGAAGGAATGCACCCCTGCAATGAGGGACTACCTTGGCAAAGGCAGGGACATAGGCAGCTGTGATTTCAACTCAGGAATGGCAGGTAGGTCATAAGTGAGGGGAAATAATAGAAGGCTGGAAATGAAAACCCCCACTAGACAGTGAAAGGCTTTAAATGCCCTGTGCATGTAGAAAGCATTTAATAACAGGTGGCTGAATTGAACTGAAGACAATTGGAAAAAATATAGTTGGGCAATAAATAGAAACCACTATGCCATAGATTGGGAAAAATGCTTGGTCCAAATAGCTTGGCCATTTTCCAGGTGAATGGGAGGGCCTAGTACATTGCCTTGCTCAATGTTTGTTGAATTGAATTGATGTGATTGTCTAGTAAGGTGAGCCCTCATTATGGAGGGCCTTCAAAGCTCTCCAGAGAAGTTTAGACTTAAATGCATGTGACAACAGAAGCCTTTGGTAGATTTTTAAACAGGTAACAATAATGAAATTAATCTTTGAAGATCATAAGATCATAAACTTAGAGAAAACCTTAGAAGTCATGAAGGCTGGGCTACCACACGTAGGCAAGATTGACATCATATTGTTGGGCCCTGAGCCAACATTTGTACAAGATCTGCAAGGCTTAGCTTGAAATATCATGCAATACTTTTCCCTAAAACTGCTTTTTCCAAAACCACATGTCCATGCCTCATTCCTCAAACCTGTTCTTTGTTCCTCTTGCTATGCAATTACTGGGCTCACTATTGAACCCAGATCTTCTTCCCAGTAACTGGACCCCATGTAAGATTCTCATATGTGATACCCAGTTCTCTCCTTCAGGATATAGCCCACTACATGCCCCACCATCATACATGCTGCCCATTGGACACTGAAGATCCCGAGGGCTGGATAATCCCCAAACCTGCAAGTCTAATACGTGTGTTACTTGCTATGATTCCAGCAGCTTTGATGTCAGTTCTGCAGTCCTTTGGCTTTCTTCCACCTGTCAGAGGTCATCATCACATCATCACAGACTTAGAGCTGGAAGACATTTTTAAGGTGATTGAGTCTTATCATTAATCAGTGTAGAGCTGAAAAGGTCCTTGGAGGTCATTGAGTCATAAAATCAAACTTAGAGCTGGAAGGGAAATTTGAAGTAATCAATCATATACCTAGATTTGGAATTGGAAGGGACCTTAGAAGCCATCCAGTCCAACGCAGTCATTTTACAGACAACCTGGTGACCATGAGGAAAATAGATGAGAGGGAAGATGTTGGAGGCAAAGAGAGTAACTGTTGGTTGTTGAATAATCCAGATGTGAGGTGAAGGATAGCCTGGATGAGCCCAATGACATTGAGAAAATGGGCCAATACTCAAGGGATATTGTGGAAAATGTGAAAATACCTAGTGTCCTAGGATGACGTCTTTTTTTTTCTTTTGTTTTGTCTTGTTTTTGGGGGGAACTGGGTGGAGGACCTTGATTGACATTCCATGTGTTATTTAGCATTTCTAGCATTTCAGCATCTGAAAATATATTACATATACCACCTATGCCTTTTTCCAAGTCATTGATAAAAATGTCAAGTGGCATAGATCTAAGCATAGATTATTTCAGCACGGCACTAGGGATTTCCTAGTTGCTGCTTTGGGGACCTGTCAATTCGATTGAATCCTAATCCCTCTAACTACAATTATCCTGCCCTAATCTCTAGTTTGCTGAGAAGAATAGCCAAGAGACAGTTTGTTCAATATTCTTCTGAAACCTAAGTAAACTAAATCAATAGGATTTCCTTGATCTGCCACTCTAGTATCTAAGGGAAAGGGTTCAATTAGTCTGGCATAACGTGTTCTTAATGAACTAGTTCTTTGGGATCAGTTTCCTCTTTGAGATGTTCCATACTTATTCATCTAACAATATATTCTAGAATTTTTCCAGGAATCTACGTCGAGCTCACAACCACCAAGGTGGTCGAAGAGACAGTGTGACCCTGGTTCAGGGAATGATTTGCTCCTCAGTTTTTTGCTACATCTACTTAGTAAATGTTGTTGTTGTTCACTCATTCTTCAGTTGTTCCTGACTCTTCATAGCCCCATTGGGGGCTTTCTTGACATAGATGTTGGAGTGGTTTGCCATTTCATTCTCCAGCTTATTTTACAAATGAGAAACTGAGGCAGACAGGGTTAAGTGACTTGCACAGGGCCACAACATTAGTAAGTGTCTGAGGTCGTATTTGAACACAGGAACATAAGTCTTCCTGACTCCAGGCCCAACACTCTATCCATTATACCTCTTAGCTGCCTTTCTTAGTAAATATCTCATTGTAAAAAGCAATTTCATGTTAAAAAGCTAAAGGAAACCTGGGAGCTAATCACTGACTACTGGTATTGGAGAAAGCTCCTGGGAATGGGAGCTCAAGCCCATAGCATTAGAGAAGAAGATACCCACAATCCCTAAGGCATACTCTTAGATCCCTGAGGAGGAGATATACCTCACTTTGCTCTGGGATACTAACCTGTTAGTGAGTGAATGGTTCAGAGAGTAAGCCCAGAGTATGGTTTCACTTGGAGGTCTAACATCTTCCGTACTCTATTCTAAGGAGGTTTCCAGTGCTAACAATTTATATCTCTCTATACTGCACTAAAGAGGACCACCACTAAAGCTGGCATGAGTTTATTACATTGCCTTAGAATCTCTAAACTCTCGAAAGTCCTTTGGTCCAAAGGATTCCATTATAGAAAATTATCAGGGTTACAGAGATAGAGAGGTCCTAGATGGACTAAACTATAAAATGGGACAAAAGCCAAAAGTAAAAGGTATTTTGGAAAAAATCTTATTGACCACAAATCTTATAACCAAGACCACACTCAGAAAACTGTGATATGATTGAAAATACTTCTAATGATCCCTAATTCCTCTAGAACACCCATTCTCCTAGCTTACTTCTTCAGGCTGGACTGTCCAGTCAAGAACATATGATAATCAGATTCACCTCCAGTTACTGAGAGTATACTGGTTCACACCTCCCTTAAAGAAGGATTTGCGTATTTGAGAACACCCGGGTAAGGACATTTAACTCCAAGATATATCTCTAGCTAAAGCACCTCCTATAAAAAGACCTTTCCCAATCCTGTGTGTGATCCCTACACCTTCATTAACAAATTACTATGTATTGATTATGTACATATCTCATATTGACTAAAGTTTGAACATCATGTTTCTACGTGTGGAAAGTAAACTGCTATGAGCAGAGGCAGTTTGATTTTTATCTTTTAATTCTCCTCTCCTATCACAGTTCCTGGCACATAGCAATTTCTGTTGAATTGAACTGATGGAGTTTCCTGAGGTATATGGATGAGACATATATTTTTGGTCTCCGAGCCATCCTCAGACATTCTTCACAGAATCACAGGAAAATGACGTCAGGGAACTAATCCCTGAACAGGAATTCTCTTTATAATATCCCCAAAAAGAGTCCATCCAGTCTCAACTTGAATGTCTCCAAAAGAAAGAAACTTGTATGATCTTGGGCAAGTCACTTAACCTTCTTGGGGCTCATTTTCCTCATCTGTAAAATTAGGGGTTTGGACTATGTGTCCTCTGAGGTTTCTTCAGCTCCATATCTGTGACCTCATACACCTACAGTGTCCTCCCTCCCCACCCCCAACCACATCCAGTGGAAATCTCTCCCTCCAACTTCTATCTACTACTACTAGTTCCATCCTCTGAACTAAATGGAACAGTTTGATCCCTCTGCCACAGGACACGCCTTCAAATACTTGAAGATAGTTACATCTCATTTGTTGAAATAGGTTTTTAATTGAAATAGCTCTTGAGTTGGCTTCCCTTGCCTCAAGCCTTGCCATGCTCTAATCCATCACCCACACTCCCTGCCAAAGTGACTTTCCTAAAGCCATTCCACCTGTCACTCACCTGCTAGTAAACACCAGTGGCTCTTGGTTATCTCTAGGGTCAAATGCAAACACTTCAGCCTTCCATTTAAGGCACTTCACAACTTTGACCCAACCTACCTTTCCAGCCTTATTACATCGTACTCCCCTTCAAACAGTCTACATTCCAGTGAACCTTGCCTTCTTACTGCTCCTAGTATATGTATGACACTCCAATTCCAATCTCTTTAACCTTTGCAGTGGGCATCCCCAGTGTTTGAACTACTCTACCACCACTGCCCCATAAAATCCTTAGATTCATTGGAGACCCTAGCTCAATAATACTTTCAACATGAAGCCTTCCTGATTCCCCACTTTCCAATGCCCTCCTCCAAAATCACCTTGGAACTATTTTGTGTCTATTTTATATGTAAAACAATGTGCGTACATGTGATCTCCTCCAATAAGCCTCTTGAAGTTAGGAGCTTTTTTAATGTTGTGATTGCTTCTCAGGGTCTATCACGGCACCTGGCACATTACAGGGACTTTACTAATGTCGGTTGAATGATTAAGTTCCTCAAAGGGAGGTATGCCTTTTAAACCATTTCAGATGTCAGGGTGGGAGTGCGGTGTGGGGGAAAGGGTTCTGGCATTTTAGGATACCCCTATTATGTACCAAATCAAGAAACCTACATCAAGTCCCAGCTCCAGTGAGCTGTGTGACTACTTGAAAGTCACTTCATATCTCCAAACCTCAGTTTCCTCTTCTATAGAATGGAGGCAGGATAAGAATATTCATAATTCTTTTGTTTTATGGGTTGAAGTGAAGAAAACATTTTGAAAAACTATAGAAATGTGAGTTATTCTTAAACTGAAAGAAAGAACAGGTCCCAGTTTGTCTTCTACTTGTCCTAGTGACTCACACTCTATTTTTTTTCTTGTTTGAGCTGTAGGTGGCAAAGCACAAGATCAGAAAAAGATACCCTCATGTCCCTGTATCGTCACTGAGTAAATAACAGGTGCCAGTATTATCCCATCTGTGAGAAGGCATACAGTTAACATCTGGATTTGTCTCAACTTTGTCCTGCTTTGCTGGTCTTCCTCATGGTATGCACTTTATCCAACCCTTAGCATCTGTGATTTCATCCAATGAGGCATTCCTTCCGAAGATATAGGTATCAGCCTTTCTCCAAAGCTCCATCCTCTTCAGTTTGTGTTCAGGTACTGTTCAAATTACTCTACTTTTTTTTCTTTAAAAATCTCTGTAGAGGGGACAGCTAGGTGGTGCAGTGGATAGAGCACTGACCCTAGAGTCAGAAGGACCTGAAATCAAACTCAGACATTTGACATTTACTAGCCTTGTGACCCTGGGCAAGTCACTTAACCCCATTGCCTAACCAAAAAAAAGAAAAAGAGAAAAAGAAAAAATCTCTGTAGAATGTCTACTCACCACAGTGGAGACTCTCATTTAGATTTAATAGGTAGAGAAATGCAAAGACGAAAATAAACCGGGTCATTCCCTGAAGAAAGGAAGCGCTTAATACATGTCAGATGCTTTCCAAATATCATCCCATTTGATCCTCACAATAACCTAGGGAGGTAAATGCTATTATTATCCCCATTTCAGAGGTTAAGTGACTTGGTCAGGGTCACACAGCTAGCACATGTTTGATGATGGATTTGAACACAGGTCTTCCTAATTCCACTGTGCCATCTAGCTGCCTCTAAAAAGCTTATATTCTTATATAAAGTCTTGTAACAGTTTGACCCTGCCGGTGATTACAACCTCTTGGCAGTTCAATTATTTTGGAAATGCTCAATGTAGCCCCACTTGCTAGACCAGATTCTTGTGTCTTTTTAGCAAGGGATCCTATGATTGTAGATCTAAAACTTGAAGGGATCTCAGAGGCCATAAGACCCAAACCCCTTCATTTTAGAGACAAAGTGGGAAATTCACACAGGTGTTAAATCACAGAGCAGAGATTTGAACCCAGGTCTTCTGATTCCAGATCCAACACTCCTTCTATTCTGCCATGATGGATGGAGAGTTATGACCACATTGAAGGGAGGATGCATGGTTGACAGGCTGCACGTAGCCATACGTATACTGATGTAATTATATGTCATTGCTAGAGATGGTTAGCCAGGGAGGGACTCCCAAGCCCTAGTCAATAACCCTGAGGGAGCTTGACCTGACAGAATCCAGCACCCGGGAACCAAAGGGACAATGAATTATGAGCATATGGGTGGTACCTGGCTCAGTTATCAAAACTCTTACAAGAGTAATAAAACAGCAGTTGTGGAAATTGTCACACCCACTCTTCTTGTTCTTCCAGTCTTTTGGAACAGAATCATTCTATGCTCATGTTCTTCAGCTGAGATGCCCAGAACTACTGCAAGGTCTTACTCTTGTAGGCCACAATGACTATTAGGCCACTGATTAATTGAAACCTAAATGATCCTTAGTAAGGGGTGTGGCTCCCAGGGGACTGAGCATTATTGATTTTCCAAATTCTTAAAATGATTCCCAATAGGATCATAGATCTCCATCAGGAGCTCTTAACCTAAAACTAGACCCCTTTAACAATCCAGTGAATTGGGCAACTAAGTGGCACAGTAGATAGAGCTCCAGACTTGGAGTCAGGAGGACCTAAGTTCAATTCCGACTTCAGACACATAACACTCATTAGCTGTGTGACCCTGGGCAAGTCACTTAATCCCATTGACCCATTAAAAATAAAAATTAAAAAACAGTGATCCTGAACTGCCCAGAATCAAATTTTCAAAATGCATGATATTAGAATTACAAATGAAACTAATTACATTGAAATAAAGATGTATTTTTTTCCTATTCAAATTAAATGGCCTCCTAAAAACCATGCACAGAGAGGTACATGGATCGCAGGTAAGGAACTCATGACCTAGTACTAGAAGAGTTCTCAGAGGTCATGTAATCCAACCTTCTCCTCTTACAAATGAGGTAGCTGTGGTCCAGCAATGGAAGGTGACTTGTACCAGATCACATAAGTAATATTAGAAGGGAGATTCAAACCCAGGCCTCTCAACTTTAAAGACAGGACTCTTTCCACCATACCATATTGCCTTCTGTTAAGTGCTTCATCCTGGCAGTGAGGCAATGCTGGGTTCTGAAAGGCTGAAGCTTTGGAAGTGGTAGACAGCTTTCTGAAACAGGCCAGCCATGGATACTAGTCTGTAATTCATAGATCTGTTGGGTTAGATTTGAAGTAGCTCATGACCAGAATTTGGGGTGCCTAGGTGGTAAGGGATAGAGTGCAAGGCCTGTAGTCAGGGAGACCTGAATTCAAATCTGGCCTCAGACATTTACTAGCCATGTGACTCTGGGCAAGTCACTTCATCCTGTTTGTCTCGGTTCCTCATCTGCAAAATGAGCTGGAGAAGAAAATGGCAAACCAATCCAATGTCTTTACCCCAAATCGAGTCATGAAGAGTTAGGCATGACTGAACACCACCACCAGACTCTATACTCTAAGAATAGTTTTATTGGGATTCCTTTCCCATCTAGGTCAGGTGTTATTCTATAGTCACAGTCCATAATCTCAACCCTGAATCTCCCATGTGTATGTATAAAACATGGGGCTGTGTGATTACTACCTGTGCGACCCTTGGTAAGTCACTTAATCCTGTTTGCCTCAGTTTCCTCATCTGTAAAATGAGCTGGAGAAGGAAATAGCAAACAACTCCAGTAGCTTTGCCAAGAAAATCCCAAATGGGGTCATGAGGAGTCTGACATGACTGAAAAATAACAAAAATTACCAGGATGGCCACAAAGTGATACGTTTCTACCATGTGCTAGCTAACATTAGCTTGCTTTTATATAGTGCCTTAATATTTGCAAAGAACTTCTCATTTGAACCTCAGAAGAATGTTGGGACATGATTATTTGCCCTGTTGTATAGACAAGAAACCTGAGGGCCTGCAAGGTTCCACTGTCCCAGTCCCACAGCTTATAAGTATGTGAGACAGGATTCAAACTTAGGTCTTCCTGACTCCAATCCCAGCACCAGATCTACTGTGCAGGAGTCTCAATTCAATTCCATTAGAATTTACTTGTGTATTGCAATGGAGAAGGGATCTACCAGGCTCAGAAGGAAGCTGTGTCTGCCCTCAAAGAGGTGAGGGGCAGGGGGGAGAGAGGAGGAAGAGAACAAGATGTGCATAGATAAATGAATGCACAATAAATACAAAGTCACTTTGGAGGTGGGACTAAACCACGAACACCCGGAAAAATCCGAAATCAAAACTGAATGTTGGGAAATTAAGCTGCCTACTTACCACACTCCTTTGCAGAGAAAATGGTCCATGAGCACGGAAAGTTGCACATAAGGCCAGGTTTTGTTTGGTTTGGTGTTTATGTATTGATTTATTTTACTGACTTTGTTCTCTTCTTCCTCTTTTTTTTAAAGTTGTTTGTTATAGAAGGCAGCATGATCTAGTATGAGGAAGAACAGGTAGGGGAAATCTAGAAGATATGAAAAGATATCATTCAAATTCCCTTTTAATTCTTTTTTCTCTCTCTCTCTTTGAGCATCCAGCTCTGAAGCCTTTGCACTCATCAGACTGAGCTAACCCTCAGCAGTATTTAATCAAAAGCTCAGGAAAGAGCGTTGATCTCCCTGAAGATAGAATTCCTCCTTTGCCTTGCCTTAAAATGGATTAGAGAAATCATTCTCCAAAGTCGATATGTTAAATTGCTATTTTTCTGTTTCCTAAATCAGAGAATGTTATCTAAACTCTTTGCCCTAATTTAACCTTGAGAGTCTGAATTCTATCATTGCTTCTCATAATGCATAAAGACGTTGACTGGGCAAGAAGAGTTTTATTTAGCAGACGTAACTGTTACTTGACTCTTTGTCCAAATGTTTGCCCATACTCATATCATTATTAGTTGTTCATTCCTTTCAGTTAGGTACAACTCTTTGTGGCCTCATTTGGGCAGAGATACTAGAGTGGTTTGCCATTTCCTTTTCCAGCTCATTTTACAGATGAGGAAACTGAGGCAAACAGGATTAAGTGACTGGCCAAGGTCACATAGTTAGTAAGTGTCTGAGGCCAGATTTGAGCTCAGGAAGATGAGTCTTCTGACTCCAGGCTAGCACTCTATCTACGGTGACACCTAGCTGCCCAGCATATTCATATCTATGCACATATATTTATGTATGTGATATACATATTTATATATAGTATCTCTAACAGACTTGAAACCTAGAATGCAGGGTTAAAGTTTCCCTTCCACATGTCTTAGTTTAGATGAAGCACAAAGTTGGCTAACTATGTGACCCTTGGCCAGTCAATTAATCCTGTTTGCCTCAGTTTCCTCATCTGTAAAATGAGCTAAGGTATACAAAGTTCTTTGCCAACTTTGTGCTTCATGTACATGGCCAACCATTATCTCTGTTTTACAGGAGAGGAAACTGAGGCTCAGAGAATTAAAAAAACTCATCTAAACTAAGACATGTGGAAGGGAAACTTGTGGAAATCAAATTAGATACTCACCGTCAAGTGCTGGAACCACTGGAGCGGTGCACCATTTCCTTCTCCAGTTCATTTTACAGATGAGGAAACTGAGGCAAACAGGATTAAGTGGCTTGCCCTGTGTCACACAGCAGGTAAGTATCTGAGGCCAGATTTGAACTAAGAAAGATGAGTCTTCCTGGCATTCTATTCACTGGACCACCTAGTTGCCCCATTAAGTGCTTTACAAAATTTAAAAGACTATAAAGTGTCGTTTTATTATGTATTATTATTATTATTATCATTATTATTATCATCATCTCATTCTTCCCATCTTCCTATTGGGGTTGATTTAGAAAAAAAAATTGTCAAAAGACAAGTTGTTTATTCTGCCCTTATTCTCTAACATTTAAGCTGCACAGGTGCATAAAATGGTAGCTTTTTGTGATTGAATAAGAGTGCTGGGATGTAAGCGCGTTTTCCCTTAGGATTCCTGAAAGTAGTTTTGGATGATTATAGCAGCAGGCAGAGCCACAGGACTGACAGATTGTAGCTCACCCTGTTCCACCTGGTTTTAATTACTTCACAAAATACCTTGAAAGCTTTTAATTTCATGTAAATTGGAGACAGTGCCTGTTTTGGGTGATGCTATCACCAATACTGTTATTAAACATTTACAGACCAATGATAGCATCAGAAATCCATAAGCAACAGTTCTAATTGTAATGATCAATCAGTAAGTGCTTTCTAAGTACCTCCCACAATCCAGGTGTTTTGCTTAATTCAATTCAACTCAAAAAGTATTTATTGGTCATCTCATTGTTGTTGTTTAGTTGTGTACAACTTCATGACTGTCCACCATACTGTCCACGGGATTTTCCTGCCAAAGACAGTGGAGTGGTTTGACATTTCTTTCTCCAATGGATCAAGGCAAACAGAAGTTAAGGGACTTGGCCAGGCTCACACAACTAATAAGTATCTGAGGCTGTTTTTGAACTTGGGACTTCCTGACTCGAGACCCAGCACTCTATCTATTGAGACACCTATCTGCCTTTTAAAATCATACTTTATTCTATTTGTAAGTAATGATAATCAATTTGATGCTAAGAACATAGGAGTGCATAAAGCATAGGCCAAGCCTGTCAGAATACCCCCAGCTTGATTGTTATTCTCCAAGGGTATCTGCATGCTGACTGACTGCTACAGTTGAACCTGTTGAAGATCTAAGGCCAACTTCTTCCTTGCTTCCTATGCCAAAGGATACTCAAAATTCCTCTAATGAATTTCTACTACCATTGCGTGGGTAATTCAAGTCACCCAACAATAAGAAAAGAAAACTTAGTTTTAGAAAAAATAAAATAGGATCAGGTAAAGCTGTAATTCTTTTGGGGCTCCCCAACGGGATTTGGAGGCAGCTAGATGGCACAATAGATAGATTCCTGGGCATGGAGTCAGAAGACTCAACTCCCTGAGTTCAAATCTGGCCTCAGACACTAGGTGGGACCTGGGCAAGTCACTTTACCCTGTTTGCCTCAGTTTCCTCATCTATATAATGAGCCATAGAAGGAATGGCAAACCACTCCAATATCTCTGCCAAGAAACCCCCAAATGGGGTCACTAAGAGTCAGACACACTGAAAAATGACTCAACAACAAAAAGAAAATGAGAGGTTTGCACGAAACAATTTCTATCAGAAGCTCTGTCATTAATCTGCTTTGAAACGTATGTTGGAAAAAGTTATTTATTAATACAGTACTCTGTTGTCTTTTAGGTGGATCGACAGAAAAAGAAGACTTCCATTGCATTAGGGAGATCATCTGAACAAAGATTTCGAGCTGGATGCAAGAGGCAACTTCTAACACACAAACAGGGAAACGCCACTGTTGGTCCCTCCTTTTAGCTCTTCCTCTTGTCCTATTGAACTTAATGAATTCCACAAATACTGGATTTGTTCAAAGGTAGATTGGAAACCTCTGATTATGATGGAGCCATGAAAGGTAGTAGAGGATTCCAGCATTCCCACGTATAGTAGAGCAGTGTTTTTTCTAAAGGCATCACATTTAGGGAAACCAAGACACGAGCCAGACCTGCAGTTTATTTTAGAGAATTCTTGGACCATAACTATGAGGGCAATGAGTCAAAGAGAAAATGTGGCCATTTGGAGTTGGCTCCAAGGATAAAAAACAATTAGTGGGAACCCAGAGTTTTGAGGGACCTTGCTTGAATGCCCTATTCCATCCCTCATCTCAATGCAGTTGAACACTTGGCCCCTCACAGTTGAAATTTTCTTCATCCTCTTAACTGCCTCTCAAGAACACTTAGCTTCTTTCAGTACTCACCTTAAGCACCACTTCCTCTAGGATGCTTTCTCTGATCTCCTTCTCCCATGTTTTAATGTCCTATCCTCAAATTCCCCGAACCTGCTTCTGCAATTACCCTGGTCTACCCTCATCACTTCACTCCTGGACTATCTCAGTACGCTGCTGGTTGGTCTCTCTGCCACCAGCCTCTCCTCAGTCAGTCCCATTATCCACTCTGCTGTCAAAGGGATTTTTCTAAAGTTCAGGTGTGATCACATCATCTCTCTATTCAGTAAACTTTAGTGATTCCCTATCTCCTCTAGGATAAAATATAAAATTAGTTTATGTTTGCTGTTTGATGTTATTATGATCAAAATCAAGGTAAACTGAGCACAAAGTCCTGAGCACAATCAATTTATTGACAAAGCACAAATTTGCCAACACAGTCTAGGTCCCTCAGAAAAGCTAAGACCCCCCAAACAAGGGAGACAATGCTCTTTTATAGAAAAAAGGAAGAGGCAGAATAAAAGGCAGCATTATAGATGGGTGAAACAGTATGATTGGTTCCAAACTTATAGCGTCATAGACAGATAAAATAATATGATTGGCTGGAAATTGGTAATGAGGGGCTAGCAACAACCTCTCCTTCCATCCTGTCACTAAGAAATGTTCATTGTCTGAGTTCACTTGCAAGGAGAATTTAGTGATAGTGGAACAGACCACCCTGGATAACAAACCAGACTCTCTGGTGTCCACCTGTACCCTTCAAGGTTAACAGATTTCCTTGAAGCAAGAATAGAACAGTGATTAGCAGGAGAACTAAACTTCTAAACTTAACTGAGAGACAATGAGTGATTTATGAGAAAGCTGAATTTCTAAACATAACTCTGAGACAAATGAAATATAACTTAGGCAGTTGCAAAAATGTCTGCAGTAACAAAGACTGAAATCAATGACAAGATAGAAGCAACTTGGTATTCTCGATTTTCAGTGTCCAAAGCCCTTAATAAGCTGCCATCTTCAAGCTTGCCAATCTTCTTATCCCTTACCTGCCCCTTCCGCCCCCCACGGTCCTGTGACAGTGGCCCCCCTGATATTCCTCAAACAAGACATTTCATCTCCCCTCTACAGGCATCCTCGCTGCCTACCCCCCATGCCTGGAATGCTCCTTCTCCTCATTGCTACTTCCTCGCTTCCCTGGTTTCCTTCAACTTCCAGCTATAATACCACCTTCTTCAGAAAACCTTTCCCAATCCCCCTTATCCCCTCTGTTAATTATCTCCAATTTATCCTATGGCTCATTTGTATGTTGTCTCCTCCACTGGACTGAGAGCTCCTTGAAAGTAGGGACCATCATTTGCTCTTCTTTATATCCTCAGTGCCTAGTACAGTGCCTGGTACACCACAGATGCTTAGTAAATATTTATTGATTGACTGAGTGACTGAGTAAAATATAACCTCTTTGATGGTGGGGACTTTGTTTTTGCCTTTGTATATACAGAGATGTTAAATAAATGGTTTCTGAATTTGTTTGCTGAATTTGAATAAAACATACAATTGTACTCTGGTTTTCACATGTAGAGAAGAAAGTGACAATAGAAGTGATAAAAACAAAGAACTATCTGTAACCATATGCACAGAAACATTATTTGAAAAGGCGAAGAACTGACAACAATATAAATGTTTATGATGTGGTAGATGGCTGAATCAAACAGGGGTGGAGAATCTGCATCCTTGAGGCCACATGGAGCCTCAAGGCCACAGCTCCCCACCCCTGAACTAAAGTAAGGTTTGTTAAAACCATTAAAATAATAAATGTCAAGAATATGAAGCCAAGGGGCAGCTAGGTGGCACAGTGGATACAGCACTGGCCTTGAAGTCAGGAGGACCTGAGTTCAAATCCAGCCTCAGGCCAAACACTTGACACTTACTAGCTGTCACTCTGAGCAAGTCACTTAACCCCAATCACCTAAAAAGAGAGAGAGAGAGAGAGAGAGAGAGAGAGAGAGAGAGAGAGAGAGAGGGTATGAAGCCAGGAAACAGAGGTAAAGAGGGAGAGCTTTACAGATTTGGGGAATAACCAGTGGAAATTCAGAGAAATGAAAACAATTCATACAATAGTGCCAGCATTATGAAGAAAAAGACTGGAAGACATCAGAACTCTGATCATTGCAATGACAAATCCTGACTTTCAAAAATAAAGAAGCCTCTCTCTCTCTCTCTCTCTCTCTCTCTCTCTCTCTCTCTCTCTCTCTCTCTCTCTCTCTCTCTCTCTTTCTCTGTCTCTTTGTCTGTCTCTGCCTCACCTTCTCTCTCTCTGCCTCTCTCTTCTTCTTCTCTGTCTCTGCCTCTCTCTGCTTCTTTCTCTCTCTCCCTCTGCCTCTCTCTCTCTCTCTCTCTCTCTCTCTCTGGCAAACACCTTTAGTAACCACACCTGTCCCTGTTTTATGCTTCAGTTTACAGTAATGACCAGAGGGTCAGAAACAGCTAGGTGACACAAGGGATTGCATTCTGGACCTGGAGTCAGAAAGACACGATACTTACTAGATATGTGACCCTAGACCAATCATTTAACCTCTACCTGCCTCAGTTTTCTCATCTATAGTATCAGAATAACAAGAACACTTACCCCAAGGGTTATTGCTAGGATTAAATGGTACAGTGTTTATTAAATGTTTTGCAAAGTTTAAAGCAGTAGTAGAAATGCTTGATTCTCCAAACAAAGTGATCTGCTTTACATATTTCAAACACTCTTAAATAATTTTGATACATTCATGGGATTGTTCATGATAAACATCTATAAAAATATTGCCATGAAAATAATTGCAATTT